CACGCCAGTATCAGTTTGTCCGCAAGTACATACGTGCTTCCGAGGTTTGTCAGCGGGTGAAGTCTACTCCTTCATCCCGTGCGCCATTCCAGCCTCTGCCTGTTCCGACAGAGTGCTGGCAGTCCGTTTCAATGGAATTCGTCTTCGGTTTTCCCGACGACGCTCACAAGCATAATGGTATTCATGTGTTTTTTGACCAATTCAGCAAGATGGTGCATCTTGCTGCAGTCCCTGAGTCGATCAAGGCTCAAGGTTGTGCTCGTGTCTTTCTCGACACGGTCTTTAGACTCCACGGGTTACCCCGTGAACTAGTATCCGACCGTGACCCTCGGTTCACGGCGGCATTTTGGCAAACCGTGTTCCATTCTCTCGGAACACGATTGAAGATGTCTACTTCTGACCATCCAGAAACAGATGGTCAGACGGAACGTGCGAACCGTGTCCTCGAAGAGATCCTTCGAGGATATGTCCACTCGTTTCCGAGTTGGAGCGAATCCCTACCCATGGTGGAATTCGCCATCAATAATCCGGTGCATGCTTCCACACAGCACACACCGTTTTACGTTAATGGTTTACGCCATCCACGTGTACCCGTCCTTCTAGAGGGTGACTCTTGGATAAGGGGGGAGGAACTCGCTCGAGCAAAAACCGTTTTGGCTCTTGCTCACCACGTGTCGACGCTAACGTCGTCACGTATGATGCCGATGTCGATTAGGTCGACATCGATGAAGAAGATCACCTCAATAATAGCGGCGACGCTATTACTGACTCGGATTACGATGACGATGCTGGTATATTCAGCATCGTCAACGATTATGCCAGCGAGGAAGAAGACAACCTCACTGAAGAAGAGAACAATCTCTTGGCAGTGCGCACGAAGCGCACTGAAAGACAGAACAAAGAGTCAGCAGAGAAATTCCTGCTGACTCGAGAGGAGGTAGTCCGTTTCGTTCAGGACTCCATCGCAAATGCGGTGGACCTTCAGAAACGGAACGCAGACAAGAATGGAAGAGCAAATGTTCTTTCATTTAATGTTAATGACCTAGTTCTACTGTCTACGGTAAACTTACCTGGACACGCAGTCACTAATGTCGGCAGTAGTAAACTACTGCCGAAGTACATTGGGCCATTTCGAGTGTTGCACCGCAAAGGCAATGCATACACATCGAATTGCCACGTAAGATGCGCACAAATCCTAAGTTTTACGTGGGGAGGCTCAGGCCGTACTGTCAGTACGAGCTTTCTTCTTCCGATGAAGATAGCCCCCACGTTCAAGAACATCCATCAAGTTCTTGCGTTCGCGATCCAGACGGTCCGTCTGGTCGCGCAGATATGATACCTCGGAACTTAACCGAGATATCTCCCCGCGAGCTGTCGCCAGCTCGCCGAATAGGGAGCGGACATGCCGCTCGACCTGAAGCTGAGCCGTGGCATAATCGGCGCGATCCCTCGCCCGATCAGCCTCTTGATCCTTGCGGTTCTTCCGCACGGTATCAGTCAAAGCGTAGCGCCGGTCGCGCTCGTGCTTCAAGTCATCGCGCAATTCATCGATTGCGCGGTCCATCTCGTAAGGGTCGAGATGGTGAGCCGAATCATCTGGAGGAGGTCTTTCCTCCTCCACCACATCCTTTGGTGGATGCTCACGGTGATCAACGCTTTCTAGTGGAGCGTATCTTGAATCACCGTGACGATTCAGGATCAAGGAAGAACTACCTCGTCCAGTGGCGGGGGTATCCACCCTCTTGGAACAGCTGGGAGACCAGCTCTCAGCTGTTGATGGATGTTGAAGATCTCGTCCGCCAGTATGACGAGACCCATCCGATGAGTCCTCGGGCCCATCGGTAAACACGCGCCCTAGGCGCTTGTAGACAGATTGCAAGTTTGCAATCGCGTCACGCATCTCCTCCGAGAGATGTGCCCTTCCCCAGGGCGAACTTAGGGAATACACGTCCCTATGTGCACGCTGCGAGTTGTCAACACAACTCGCACAAGGGTCTCCCCATGTGAGGCAAGGAATGCCTGCCACACTCGACAAACAGTGCAACCGGTACCTGGCACCGGTTGGCGTTCGCCTTTCGAACCTGAGGCGTGTCGCCTCAAGTTTCTTGAGCCACCCTTCTCGTCCAAAATTCTTTACGTTTTGGACGAACGCGTTCCACGCTGCCAAAAGCGAGTTCTTGTCACGCTTTTGGTTGCTGTTGTACCATCGATGCATAAAAAAGGCCTCGAGATAAAAGTCTTCTTCAGCGCGGAAGTTAATCGCGCTGGGTCCTAAGCCATGAAGCTCCGATGCATCGAATAAGGGTTTTCGATGGTGTTGGCTTGTCTCGTGAGACAAGCCATTGTTGAGACGTTCGGGCAAACGACACGGCTTCAGCTCATCACGCTTCAAAGTAGTACCTGTTTCAGTACCACGGTTGTCAGTATGACGATGGGTTGCACCATCGTCAAGTCGCTCGTGCGAAGGAGCACGAGCTGGCTTCGGTGATGAGCAAACATACTTATCATCAGATTCGTCATCACTGCCGAACAGACTGTGTTGCAACTCACGAGTCCGTTCGTTCAGCAGTGGCCTTGGCAAACACTGAGGCGTCGCCGGTGAGCGAGACGCCTCTGCAGCATTGCCCGAGTCAGACACGTCTGACTCGCGAGAGTAGATGACCTCAATGTCGGGGTCATTATGCGCACGCGGTGCTCTACCGCGTGCACCTGCAGCACCTCTTGCTGCAGGCGAAGAACGAGCAGCAGACGACGAATCGTCTGCCGCAGAAGCTGGCACAGGCACAGACTCTGTGTGCCTTGAGTCACCCCGCATAGACATGTTAACTATGCGAGGTCGAGCGGAAAGTGAATGGAACGGACCCAACAAGTGCTCCCTGTCCCAATGGTGACCAACGGGGGGCCGCCATTATTTTCGATAGTCACACGGTGACTATCAGTTAAGGGGGGGTGATGTAACGGGGCAGCCCGTTACATGGAATTGTCATTGAAACAATTTGACAATATAGAATACAAAGTTGAATATTCTTTAAACAATATCACCGAAGCGGTGATATCGAAGGGTCGACCAAAGAGTCTGTTCATTGGTTGATATCTTGATGATATCAACCCACCAATCGCCGCAAGACGCGCGCAATGAGTGGTGACGAGACGTCACCATACACTCAGTTCTATTAGCATAATTAAGTTAAGTCAAACAGAGAGACGGTAGTTAAAAGACTTAATTATATTATTATAACAGTTCTGCTTTTACCCTACCTACGCTTCCTCGCTTGCCTTGTTTACGTCTGTCGGGGCACCGATACCCTTGCGTTAAGTTCACGCAAGGGTGTGCCCCGTTACAATATTGGTATAATTAAGTCAGGACAACAGAAGATTCCAGGAGTTATAGGACTTAATTATATTAATACGCTTTTACTTTTACCAGAGACTAGTCTGACTACTTAGTCTCCTTTCCTTCCTCTGTGTTTCTTCAACACCTAGCAGGGCACTGTCAACCACTGTTGTCAGTGGAAGTATACTCCGTACTGGTCAACCAGTACGAGTCAACAGTTCCCTGTTACACCAAATGTGCACCGGGCAATATTGTAATGGACAATCGAGAATGAGCACGGTGCTCTGCACTCACTTACTAAGCTCCCTACATCTCACCTCTATCTATTGGTGTAATGACTAATTGAACGCTTCTATTTTACAACTTAGCTGGTATTTCTTTACCAATGAACCGTGTCTGCGTCCCAGTCCAAACGTCTGCGCTACAAGCCGTAAGTAAACCTGGCACGATTGATGTCAACAGCCTGTCGACGCGAAAGACATGCACTTCACATACTTCTTTCTCCAATTTTTTGTGTTTTTGTCACATTAGAGGTCATATATAGAGAGCACGTAAACTGCCCAGTTTTGCATTCTACCTTGTTTCTATAGCAACGACAATAAATGTAATGAGCCGGATGCGCACGCTGATTCCGAGCAAACGTATGCGCGGAACAACTTAGCAAGCAAAATCTACTGCAATACAAGTGCCACGGCCTAAACATCTCGCTGAGGTAAATTCGACGATACCAATCCCAGAGATAATGTGCAAACACTTTGCTTGTCGAAACACATTGACAAGATTGAAGTTATCAGACGATTCATGCGCATGGCGAGTGCGTTCGGTCAGCCGCAAAGTTGGTCCGATCAGTATTTGTCGAATACAGGGCAATATTACGCAGCTGCAACGTTGGGCGACTGGTAGCATAACAAATCTTTGGAGCTGATGATGATGGACGTATGATAGCACCACAAAAGTATACATCACGCCTAGAGGAAGATTGAGGTTTCAGTGCCATCATCTGAATTCTTCCAAAATTTCCTTGCTGTACAAACACGATCGCGTTGCATTGGATAAATAGACGAAAATCAAATTGGTATGGTTTTACGCATTTGTGCGATTACATTTTGCGCGTAAAGTCTTTGCCTTTGTAACGGTGGTCCAGAGTCAGACTTTACGTGCTTCTTCTACCCACTGTCGTCTCCGCTCGCGCCGCTGATAAGCGATGTATGACACAGACGTTGGATTAAAGACGCGTCACCAATGCTACCTCCTTGCGCCATTTCTGCATCGACCAATGCTTGGGATTTGTGAGACTGTAAGATCGAAACTGTTGGGATGTGCCCAATTCTCAGCCTGGGGGGTCCGGAACTTGATGGATTTAAAATAAGTCCATCATCACACATATTGTGATTGTCCAGCAATTGGTGACTGCAGAGATTTGGTTTGTAACAGCAGTCTTCTTTTTATAAAAACCAATGGTTGTAGGCTCGCTGTACCCATGTGTTAACACTGAGATTCAGTTCGCACATGGTAGTAGGCGTCATACAAATGTAAGACGTTTGTAGGTTCAAGTAGACATCCCGGCTATGACGAGCTCTTTTCCACCGGCCGCCCAACGCTGCGTTCGATTGTTCTTCCAATGCACATAGCACATAGGGATCCCCACGACCTGTCCGTGAAAACGATGGAGCAGCGGCGGCTCGAGGAGGAGGAAGAGCTCATGCAGGAGGCGTTGGCCTTATTGGCCGACCTTCAGGACGACGACTACAACGACACGATTTCGCGGCTACTGGTGCCGTCTGGAGACCAGCAGCTGCACCAATATCCCCCTGACTGCAGAGACTCGCTTTTGTCCAGTACTGAAGAAGAGGCTTTGGCGTTCAGTATACAAGAGCCGCAGGTGGGTAGCAACACGTCTCTCGATGAGTGTCATCCAGTCGCACCCTCAGTGCCCTCGACCGATGAGACGTCCAACAACAAGGCGATGCTCTCGCCCGCTTCAAAGCAGCAGTCACGCAAGAAAAGGGCAGCGGTTGGTGCTGCAGGCACTGGAAAGAAGCGCAAAGCGGCGCCTTATAACTCGAATCGGGCACGGGATGAACGCAAGGAAGAGCTCATTTACCTACGCAAGACGGTGCAGACAATGGAGGCGAGATTACGCACGCTGCAGCTCTCGCAGCGTCGAGCGCTGGCTACGTATGTACCTGCAAAAGAGGCATCACAAGACACAGCTCGTCCATTGATAAAAGGTGTTTTTCAGTCTGGAGGAAGGGTAATGAGTGGGCCGCTGCTGGCTGAAGATACAAGTGATGATGCTGCGATGGGACCAGTTTGGACTGAGATTGCAGCGCACCAGTACCAAGAACGACGTCGTGTAGAGTTGGAGAATATCCGACTGAGACTGATCTTAGAGGGTCAGATCAAGATGGCAAAAAGTCTTGAGAAAATGTTGACGAAACGCACTAGCTTACGAGTAAGTGGTCGCGAAGTGAAGGGGATGAATTGCTTACTAACGATAGCGTGGCTGCTTATTCCTTCGTATGAACGCTGTTGTAGGTGATGGAATCCATTCAAGGAAAGTACCTGACCAGTTTGCAGCACCGCAAGCCAACGTCGACGGAGGAAGAAGACGAGGTGGCGATTTTTGCTCGTTTGGAAAAGGAGTTGGAATCTGCTCTAGACGAAGTAGATGTTGTCTTTGAAGCCAATGGACTTGCTCACATGGAAAGCACGTTTGCGGACGCAAAAGTTCGGATCGAAAATGGGTCCACAATCATGGAAATTTTCGCGAACAAAGTTGTTCCGTTTGGCGTCGAAGTGACGGGCCACGCAGTTTGGGAGCATTTCGTTCACTCTATGGACCATATTCCGTCGCGGTTTGTGTACCACAAGCAGCTAAAGGTGGTTTTTTACCTTTTTGGCGGGTGTTATATTAGTGAGCCGAACTAACACGTCTGATTGTTCGTACGTAGAAGACACAAACAACGGACGACACGCTGATGGAGAGTTTCGGGTTGGAGCTTGTTGGTAGCCGCAACGCCACTGCCGCATTCCGAGTGCGCCAGATCCGCCGAAAGTTTGTCCAGCCAGACCGCGTCGTCATCGCGTGGCCCATGTACTCCGAGGCCCTTGAGCTTTCTGCTGAGCCGACGAAGGGTGTCCGACTTCACGAAAAATGCTTCACTGTGGTGAAGGCACTCCGGCATGCTGACGGCCGTCGAGGTGCCCTTATACAAACGTGCTACGTCCTCCGTCCGGAGATTTACGGTCATATTCCTGACTCTGCCCGCATTCTCACCACCTTGACGGATTTTCTGCTGGATTCAGTCTCGCATACGATTAGCTCGAGCCATCAAATGATTGAAAACTCCCTGTTAGATAGGGCGCTTCGATCTAAGTCCGACCCAGGCACATTAGCACCGGTTGCTAACGAGGAGGGTAGTAGTACTGAAGAAAAATTTCCAGGAGAAGGTATCACTTAAATCTCTTCGATGCACTGCTGGTGCAATGCTGCACAGCACTTTTTGTAATTATCTTCAACGTTGAATCACGTGCACCGATAACGAGATTCGAATCTGTGGACTTTGAAAGCTAGCGTCTGCACGTGCATGTCCATCGTATAAACTCTGTGCAACCTGCTTGGCTGCAGCTAGACTTGTTTCCATGATATCACATATGACGTCCGTACGAAACTCTGTGATCGCGCCGACCTAGCTGGATCCATTGGGCAATACCAAGCTCCCATTTAAAGTGAGTGATGCAGTACATATGCACTAGGCGTGGTCCGTATAGAGCTCGGTCGCGATGATGTCGATGTGTGTGTTTGCTCTACTATTACCAGAGAGTGTGCTTTGTTTTTCCACGTCCCGCAACATACATAATCAAGCGCTATGTTCCACGTCCCACACAGCACATACATTTCGCGTGCGAAGCATCGTATGCGGCTACCAGTAGTTACCGATCTGCATCGACCGACGACACATCCGTGCTGGCAGACTTTTGTACAGTGTATGCGGTCCATGGAGTGTGAATAGACGCTAGCGGCTACCAGTGTGTCGAGCGGCTTGACGTTAGTAGACATTGTACCATTTGGATCCTCGATAAATCATTGAGTTTTATATCAGCTCTTTGGTACAACTGAACCCTTCGATGCCATTGTTGGCTAGGGACACAATGTCGAGTACTCTTGGTACGGTCGTCGCATTCCAGGATTCAAGTTGCTAGCCATTTAACATCCGCGCAGCAACCACTAGCTAATACGGTGCCATGGCAGGTGACAATGTCCTCTCTGTGACCTCTGCGACAAGCAAGACGCTTGGCAATCAAGACACAGACTAGCTACTGTGTGCAAAAGCCATTATACCGTTCCTTTTTGTGTTGACGCTCTCTAAGAGCACGCGTTAGACACTTGAGCACCTTGGTCTGCTTTTCCAATGCCACTTTCAGTCGCACGTTCTCACGCTCCACCTTTTGTCGTTCAAACGCTTGTTGCTGTGCCATGTCCCACCATACCGCGGCCGAGTGAGCTGACGACGCGTCAGGAGCTGCAACACAAGAAAAAGCTACGGGTAGTTTACTAGTCGACCGTTTTGCCTCGAGCATAGCTGTAAGCCTGTCAGTTACTATCACATCTTTCGGCTCCGTGGCTAATGGCGGCGCCGCAACGGATGAAAACGAGGCCGATATAGTCTGCGGTGTGTGCGTGTCGAATATCTGGTCAAGTTGTAGCTGCAAGTCTTTAACCTTTTGACGGAGATGCACCAGTTCTGCCCGACGCGCATCTCGTGAACGATTCGAGTACTTTTGCACTCGCTCAGTCTCTTTTGTATGTTGAAGGTGTTGCGCTGGGTTGCTCGAGAAGGTGATGTGACTATCCGATGAGAAGCATCGCCTGTTGTCAGACGTCACATAGGTGATTGAAGACTGTTCGCTGGTGATGGTGTCCTTTTGCGAGAAATTGTCCGGTGTGTCCGGAAAAGTTTGCTCTCTTAGTGTCGGCAGCTCTAGGTCAATCAGGTCTCCATCATCCAGCAAGTTGCCAATGTAGTCGTCACAACTTATTTCTGCTAGGCTCGTCATCGCATCCTCGTCTAATATCCACTCGGCTGATGTTCCGTGGTCTGTGAGAAACGCCAGTGCCTCCTCCAGCGCCTCTGCGTCGTGATCCTGCATTGCCGCCAACAAGCAAATATGGATCTATTATGCAGAAATGACACGTAAGCTTTCGTCGCGACTGGTGTAATTAATTTGTGCCAGCAGCACACTGGTAAGGAACTATAGACCCATCGCTACCTCAACTGAGGTGAGCTTGAAGTAGCTGTCCATCCACCTCATCTCATTTCTGATTCGGTCTGCAACGGTGCATCCGAAACTCGCTAAGTTACGGGTATTGTTGGTCGACAACGTTCCTCAATGTATCTCACCTTCAACAACAACTCGCTAAGTTCGACGTACCCTATGGATGCCACTTAACGAGGTCTGAATGACCACCAAATACCCACAGATACAGCTTTTTTGAACTCGCAGGAGCGAAAGCACGGAGTCTTTTTCCTCATTCAGTCCAGTTTTTGCGTCTCGAATTGTGTTGCAGCGCAATTCGAATTGCTAATTCGGCTAAAAGGGCGAAATGAGCCAGATATGAACGCGATGAGATGGTACAACCGGCAATGTCAAACACTTCTTTGGTCCTTTCTTGGAAAGAAGAGCGCCGAAATTAAATCTGGATTTCAACGGCCTAAGTCCAAACCTTCTCGGGAAAATCCAGGGCCTAAGCAGTCAGATATCTCGAAAGCGAAATGTTGAGTTTGAATCAGCGCACAATGATCGATCTAAATCCCGTCATATCGACTCCACTGGGTAAACCCCTGTGGTAAGAACTGCCCTGATCATATGGCGCGAGGCATTACTGGCCAGTCCGCATCTGACAAATTTGCCGTCAGAATTTCTTCGGGGAGCAATAAAAATGCTTTTACGCGACGACGAGATGGACGCACTGGAGGCGGCGCTGTCGTTCATGGAAGACTCGCCACACGACGCCGTAGCACACGGCAGCATCGAGCTCTGCGTACCGTACCTCCCTGTGTGTCCCCCGTCGCGTTCAACGCCTCAAACGAGTCGAGCGACCAATGACGAGCAGCGAGATGGGGCTATGGCTGACGAGGAGCTAGAGAGCCTCTTGCTGGAAGTGGGGCTGACAGGCTCTTTGAGTGTGTCTTCACATGCAAATGCAGTGAGCTCTGCAGCTGGCGCGTGTCTCGAAGCGAGTGCTGTAACTAATGCGATAATGATATCGGCTGCAGGTGACCAACCCAACTCTCAAGTCATCGCGCAGAACGACCGCTATAGGTGCAAATCAATTGGCGCGGCACGCCGGAAACTCAGCAGCAGCGTCAAGAAACGGGTGAGACTGAATCCGAATCGAGCGCGCGACAATCGAAAGAACGAACTCGCCTATCTACGCAACAAAGTGAAGCAAATGCAAGACCAGCTCTTGTTTCTTCGTCAGCAGTCCGTTGAGAGCAAAAGCGTGACCGTGACGACGACCTCTACCAAAGCTATCGTTGACCCATTAACCGCGATGCCATCCGTCTGGCGTGACATGGCACTGACACAGCAGCAACGACGGGAAAAGGCAGAGCGCGAAAACGCGCGATTGAAGCTTGTTTTGGAGAGTCAGATCAAGCTGGCCAAGAGTATGGAAGCGGTGATGCAGAGACGAACGCGGCAGCAGTTGGCCGGCTTCAATGGTATTGGAGGTGAGGCTGTTAGTGGTGCACCGAGCTCTACATGGGACCTGCTTTTGGACAAAGACACATACGAGACTTTGCTAGCTCGTGCCGAGGCAGCGTACCATGAGGTGGATGAAGTTCTTGCTGCGAACGGGCTCAAGTATCTCAAAACCGCGTGTACAAATGCTCGACTACGTGAAGGTATTGAGGGGATGTATGTCGATATTTTCACCAACAAGATGCTGCCATTTGACTACAATACGGCAGCTGAGGCGGTCTGGACTCACTTTCGTGGCAGTGAGAAGCACCGCGGTAATTTGTATGAAAATTTCTCCAAGGTATGGAATTAGTGATAGTCTTGAGGGTACGTGTACTGACTAGTAGTGTCACCTCGTGTGCGCATGAACAGGACATTGAATCGTCGTCCGACACGGTGGCCGAAATGTTTGCTATTGAATTCATGGCAAACGACCTGGCTGCTGATTTCCGCGTGAAGCAGGTCGTACGACGCTACATTGAGGATGACCGGCAAGTCGTAGTTTGGGTGTCTATTGCATCAGCGCTGGAGAACTCAAAGTCGCCGTTTGCCAGCTTCGGGTTTCGCGAAAAGGGCTATGTCATTAGCAAGCGCGTTCGAGGTCGTGACGACTTCTCGATGTTCCAGACGTGTTGTTTGGTGTCGCCCGAGATGTCCGGAGCTGGTTCGTTCGACCTATCCACAGTCGGCACCTTCACCGAGTTCGTGCTAGGCTTCATGTTTGCCACTATCACATCCAGCCAGCAACTCATTGAGAGCATGCTGATGGACCAGTCGTTGAATCTGAAGCGAGTAGCGTCGTCGTGCACCTGACAAGACAAGTGCGCTTGATTCAAGGTGCCACTAGTAAGCATTCATGCTTATTGTTTTATTAACTGTTAGGTATGTTTGGTGGTTGTGGCGCATTGCAATGCGTTGCGTCGTACGATGTTTCGCTGGCGATACGGTGATCACCTTGTTTATATATCGATTCCTTATCTGGGAGAACCTTCGCAGCCGCCATGAGCTACGATAAAGCAAATGTGTCGAACGGAGAATAGGATTATATATAGTAGTTCGGCCGATCCTTACTGTGATTTGTGCAGACATCAAAGCGGTGGCTTGTCAACAACTGCAGAATGCAAACTATTGTAAAGAAGTACGGAAGACATCAAACGAGCAAAGACGGGATCGTCTCGCACTGAGAATAGCCATTTATCAATTGAGTAATGGCAGTCGCGCAGGCCAACGCACATCCGAGATTACGTAACGCTGCAAAGACGTCAAGTCGTTGTGGACAACGTCGGTTCGTTAAGCGCCTTCAAGCGTGTAAAAGCTAAACAGTAATTGCACAAAGTATGTGCCGCGGTTATTTGAGTACCATTCAATCTTGTGTGTAACGACTATTGCAAGCAAGAGCTGTTACACTTGCGGGGTAGGATCAAGCAGTTGGCATCGACTTGTTCATCGTATAATTGGCACCGCCATCGCCCAATGGTACGTCTATCGACAGAGTATCACTGGGCAATCCTACTATACACCTTACACACAACGACTTTCTGGACAAGAAGATGCTATGAGGGTTTCCAGGGATGCGAAGCTACCTTACAGATAAAGGGAAGTTACAACTCACTCGTGTGAGCGCGTGGAATTTTCGGATTGCGCAACGAATAATTTCCATGTGAAAGCGTTCTAGTACTAATACCTCCGCAAACTTGATTTCACAATTCGAGTAGTTGTTCCAAATGTGGTACCAATACCTCCCAATTTCGCACTAGACGAAACTAAAATACGTCACGTTCTGGACATGACTGATCACACACCCGCACCCGCGCATTGATCTGCGCATTCAATATTCGACAACAACAACCTACCTCGTGCAAAGATCATATGGAAGCCGAGCAGAAGTGCAATTTGGCAGAATCCATAGGCGCCTATCATTGGCTTTATTCCAGCAGCGCTTCTCAGTGGTTTCGAGTTGTGCATCGAATGCTAAGTCTGGCTGAGTCACCAATGCTTATGATTTAGCTACGGCGAGACAAAAGATGGAGCGTACGGTTATTCCGGAATAGCATATTCTCGCACGCAGCTAATATTCACGACAATTTGGAAAGAGTTACGTAGAGATCAGCTAAGATTTAACCAACAACTTAGACAGAGTTACGTGGTGAGTTCAATGCCGTATGCACAATAGTAAGAAGTTTACGCCGGCTTCTTCTAGCTCGATAATGTTAAGGAGTAAATCATAGGCCTTTCAACAGCATTTATGCAGCTCCAAATCGGCCATTGACGACAAGCTTTACGTATTGACCGATCAATGCGATTGGCTAGTTCATTGATCGGTAATTGTCCGCACACCTATTTAATGCCTGGATACACCAGTGAAAATTGCGTCTTTGCAGCGCAACGGCAGGCATGCAAGGTTTACATGATCATCGATCCAGGAGATCAGCCATGAATAGCACTCCGCATGCGCATTGTTCGATCGATCGTGAGCTGTGAGATTCGGGACCTATCTTGCCTGGCTTTGGAGAGGCATACTTATAATGTAGGACACAAGTGTTTTGCTGCAGTGTCAAACGAAGACGATTGTGGACATAGCAGACTGTAGGCTGTGTCATTTCTCATAGTTGCAGCATCGCTGATTGTAAAATTATGACTTTTGTCGAGCACATGACAACTACACGGTCATATGTCGTTTGTCAAGGCTCAAATGGTGCGTGATCAAAGTTCACGAACGGGGCTGGTGTGTTGAAGTTCGATTCTCCACTGCTTTTGAGCCATGCTGCATTTGTAGATACGTGAACAGCATCTATCTGCTGATGGTAAATCCATTTTGGCCGGAGTTCAAATGGCATGATTGGCAAGCTATGTGCACAAGCGATCTGCTCAGCTACTAGTCAAATCGTTCTACCGTCTACTCGTGGATGCCTTTCACGGGAGAGGCTAAATCCACCGGCGCCTATCCATTCGACTTAATGTTTGTATGACAACCGTGGTATCACATTCAGGCCATGTCAATTCGAATATTACGGGATAAGCGAAGTAGAAGTGCACCTGTAACATGGTTAGGCCACGGTAATACAAAAAGAAATCACCCGTTGTTCAAGGCATGATGATGAGCACTTCATCCGCCTCCACTACTGCTGCTGCCACTGCTACGGTCGTTGATGTTGATACTAATTCTGTCGTCGCTGACAATCAGGTTACATTCCAAGTTGACGCTAGCTCTAATCCTCCCGCCGCTGATCTCTCATAGATCTGTGAATAATCTCCACCGATCGGGCCTTTTAACAGTCAAAAGACGGCTGTAGAGGCTTTATAGCAGTACGCCGTACGCCAAGGTTTTGCTATTAGTGTATCCCGTAGCCGTTCGGATAATCCCAAGCCCAGTTCTTTTACATGTTCGCAGGGAAGACATTATAAGAGATTCCACAGTCGGCGCGCGTCAATGCGAGATCGCGGGACAAAAAATGTTGGCTGTTCATACGAGCTCGTGATCATGTATAACCAGCACGCCCCAGAAGAAAGTGACTGGTCAACGTTTTGTGTGAACAACTGCCCTACAGGACACTCCCGTTATATCAGCAAGACTATGCTCTCAGCGCTACCAGCAGCGCGACGTGCGACAAGAGAAACTGAAGACATTAATTCTACGGTCGTCCAGATGCATCAGTATGGAGATGCTCCTCGGGTATGCGTGCGTGTTGAATTCATATACAGCAAGTCATTATCTGATAGTTTGTCTCATTGTGATTAATAGATGTTATTGTTAACCAATTTAAGGAGCAGGGTGTCCTTATAAATGCAAAGGATGTCCACAATATCGTTCAGAAGGCAAACAGAAAGTTACTTGATGGAAAATCACGCACGGAATCTCTGCTGCAGCACCTGAAGGACCAGGATATTTTATCCACGGTTGCAGTGAACGAAGACAACCACGTTCGACACCTGTTTTGGCAGCCCGAAGTGACCAAGAGCTTGACATATCGTCATCACAATTTTTTTATGAATGGCTGCACATACAAGACAAATGCCTACAGCCTCCCGCTCCTTCATTTTGTTGAATTTGCTAGTACTAAACAAACTTTTACTGCTGCCATTGAATTTATGGACGGTGAAGCATTTGTGGATTATGAATGGATGATAAATGAGATCGACAGGATTATCCCGGTACATCCAAAGAATCTTGTCGTTGATTGCGACCTTGGACTCATCAATGCAATCGCGGGGAGGTGGCCTCACGCATTGATAATTATATGCAGGTTTCACATCGCGAACAACATTATCACCAGATGCAGACAAAATTTATGGATGCCGGCGAAGAGAGCTGGACATCCTTCATGTCACACTGGAAGTCTATTTTCCATGCGCTACAGAAAAAACTTTTATGGAGGTTTGGCAGCAGCTACCTACGATTGCGGTGTGTAATTATATACCTTCGCTACTAACATTGAATCAACATTCATGTTAATACATTTATTTTTTAACCAGACTCCAACACTATCGCATACCTCGACAAGAATAAGTTTCCTCTTCGTCATCACTAGGCATCATTCAGCATCGACCGACACCGACATTTTGGACATACGGTCAATTTGCGAGATGTAGGAGCACACTACAAGAATATCAGGAGTTGCATCAACAGCGCAAGTGGTACACTTCTCGACGTCTACAGACGAATTACCCGAGATATCGATTATAATCACAGAAGAATTAGTGGAACGATGGCAAAGGAGAGAGTCGAGATACTCACAACTTATCTGGCGAGATATTTTTGAAGCTGCATCGCAAGATCTCTCGTCACGCGTTGATTCTGCTTAAGAAACAGTACCTGCTATCGCTCGGTCGCAAAAAACTCAAGGTATGTACCGGATACTATGTGAGGGTTCATGGCATCCCATGCGCGCACATTATCTGCGGACACATCGACAAAAAAAGGCCCATTGAAGCTAGCAATTTTTCAGATCAATGGCATCTGGATAATCTCGACGACGACAACAGCCCCGATGCAGGTGTTTCTGATATCCTGCCTCCCTTCCGCATCCTGAAAACGACGTCACGCAAGTGGACACACCAGAAAACTACAAAGCGTCAACCGTCGAGGTTTGAGATTACTAAGCGGCATTGTGGTAGCAGAAAATGCAGTCACTGCCACGGACCTGGTCACGACCTGCGACGGTGTCCGTCTCGTGCTATGATTGATATAATCCAAGAATACGATGTGATAATCACCATGAAAACATCCCAGATGCCGTCACAGCTCACACTCTGTAACGAACATGTAGCGTTGCGTGGACCTCAACACGGTACACAGCTGCAGTCAGTTCAGCCTTTCCAGTCCGTTCCTTCGACGTCAATGTACCATGTACCATTGCCACGGCGTCAGAATCCTTCTGCGCCATAGCAGAGGTCCGTTCTCCTCAACCTAGGAACCGTCATTCAATTTGTAGACGCGGTGCGTTTCTAATTACCCAATCCTATTTCTTTATGAATCCTCGTGGCCTAACCATGTTGCAGGTGCATTTCTACTTCGCTTATCCTGTAATATTCAAATTGAAGTGGCTTGGCTGCGTCACCGGTTGTCATATAAACATTAAGTCGAATGGATAGGCGCGCGGTGTATTTAGCGATAATGCTTAATGTATTTAGCCTCTCCCGTCTTTCACACAGAAATTTGGTAAACTTCTAGTACAAGGTTTACTCGAACATGCTCCTGACCTGACGCATATCTACACGCTATCTACTGAATGAGGCTATCCTTAATTTTGTCTTGAGGAGTATTGCAAACTCGCTTTTGAGTGCTGTAAGATTTGAGACTCAGATAACATGTA